TATTAGAGACTGATTAATTAAAGTCCTAAAGCCACATGTCCTTTTATTTTAATTGAGTTGTACTGAGCCCTTAGCTGTTTTGTTGTTTGGTTTTGTTTCAGAGGTGGGTTAAATGAGAAGTTATGGTTAGACCGTCAGAAGCAGTGTGTTTTATGTTGATTGCAGCAGCACCAAACCCAGAATCTAAAAGTGTTTTATCTGTCCCTAACTCATGGCAGGTAACCATGGCAATCATAGCGCTTCCAACAGCTCCTGGAAAATGTTTGAAACATCTTAAGTGAGCTGTCCCATTAATAATGAAGAATATCAGTGTTTTGCCATCTGTTACATACTAACAGTGTATATAAAAGACCAGCAGTTGTGTGAAACAATTTAAACTGCAAGTTGGGATGAACTTGTCTTGCAATGAAGAACTGCAAAACAGCGTAACATAAAATATGGTACCTCTAGACTCTGCTTCTTCGTTTTATAGCTTGACATTGTCTTCTAATATCTGAGAGTCTACAAGATTTCCATTATCTATGTTACAGTTTTTAGAGATTTGTAATTTGATATTAGCATTTTGCTGTGGGCAGGACAAACTTGGCATATTGTCAGTCAAACAGAGTTTCATAAAATATTTTGGACAGCATGAATTTCAGATTACAAGTATTTTCCCAGATGTGTTCTGTAACTGCTTCTGTAATCTGGACCAGTTTTGCTTGTTAACTGAAATTCTGTGGATTCTCAATCAAAAGTGTGTGCTCTTCATCTGTGGGCTAGGAAATAACTTTCACAGTAGTGAGTGCAGAAACAGTGGTAGCTTTATTTTTCAGAAAATATGCCTGAAAATTGAAGGTGAATACCGGTATGTTAAGTTTACTCTGCATAAATTGGTGGTAAATGTGGCCAACATGGCCTAGAGATGTATAACAGAGTTCCTCTCTATATGGTCCCTTTTCTTCTAACAGAGAAAGAGATTCTTAGTCAAATAGGGAGGTCAAATATAACTTGCAAATAAAAAGAAGCATTTATGAGGCAAGGAAAAGATCTTCACTTTGTTTCAGAACCCAACTGGTAAATGACTGGCTGGATGATTCCAGACAAGTTCTTGTTAGAGACAAGGCTTGCTGTTTATTCACCTTACCCACTCCAGTTCTTCTATACATTTTTAGTTTCAGGATTTGCAATAATACTCCTTTGTATTTTTGAGAGCAGGCCTTCTTTTTAACCATGTAAACAGGATCTCTCTTCAGTGAAATCTTAAAAGTTTGTGTTTATCTAAGTAGTGTTACTTAATCTTTCTGTATATGTGTTTGTTTTTCCAAGAATGAAACCATATAGTCTAACCTTTAATAATGTGAAAAGGTAAGGTTATATGTATTTGTAATTTAACAAAATTACTTTGTCCTCAAAGTACATTCAAATCAAGTGTACATAAATGTGTATGTTAAATCTGTAAATTAAATCTTAGGGAAAGAGCTTTGCAGTTTTCTGAGTAGATATGCAAGTGTAGACTTGTATTGACAGGTACAGCCTCATACAGTCACCAAAGACATGGACTGAAAATATGGAGCAGGTTTCACTGATACAAATACAAACCAAAATATTTCACTTTACTTTTTACTTGTAAATAAAAATAGGAGTTTGTTTACGAGTTGGAATATAAAATACTAACTAGATTTCTGCTGTAGATAATTGGACCCAATGAAAAGAGGGTAACAGTTACCTTTTTATTATTTGAGACTGAAAAAATCGGCCAGGCTTTGAGCCAATTGTGTTTTTCTGTTACCAGTTGTTCTGTTTACTATATTGTGACAAAAACTCTTTATTACTGCAACAGCTTGGCAGTAACAACTGCCTGGTAAAATCATTTCTCTGAGTACCCAACCTGCTGTTGCAAAATGCACACTTAATGATAAAGTGTAGACCCACAGCTGAATCATTTTGACCTTGGTTTACATTACTTCTGGTGAGGACAATGGGCTTTAGTACATAGTACAGAATTTCATGGAATATTGCTTGGTGTTTGTTTTAGAGATCAAATTTATGTCAGGCTAACAGAACATTTTTAACTGTTTTCAGGCTGAGTTTAATTTCTGAGATGTTCTGCCTTTCGCTTGAATAAATGGCAGAAAAATAGCTATATTATAAGCACTAATTTAATCAGCTGTAAACAGCAAAAAATGCATTTCCTAAGCATGTTCGGACAGACTTAATTAGAAAACTCCTTTGTGCCATTATTATTTATAGTCAAGGCGATCCTTTACAATAACATAAGGGATAGAAAGTACCTACTTTCAGCATTTTGTTCCCATGTCTATAACAAAGAGATCCTGCCTGTGAAAGATGTTTTTATTCAAATACATGTGCAGTACAGAAGTCATACTAAGGGAATGCAGCTTCTCTTAAGACCAGGTTTTAACAGAGTTGAAATTACTTCACTGAAAATACTGTCATTGAGGATTTGCGACCAAACAAACTTAAGAACTCAAAAAGTGCTGATGAATGTAGTACTTAAAAAAATGGAGGTGTTCTTGTGGGCTTGAAAACATCATTGACAGAAGAGATGAAAGTAGAATACAGGAAGTGCAGCGGAGGTGAGGCCATTCTTTGGAATGGCTCAAAGGTGAGGCTGGGTCTGCACTGGGAACTGGCTTGTAGAGCAAAGCAGTGCTTCTTCCTCTGTTATACAGTCTAGGACTGTATAATATAGTATTATTATTTGTATATAGGACATTATAATGTATATGGGACCTGGGGAGAGGATTACTCCATAACTGAAACGGGCTCATGTGCCAAACATCACCACTGCTCAAGTGGTTAAAGCTTTCAGAACCAAAGCTGTTCCACAGACTTCTTCTTCCTGGACATCTCCTTTCTTGTTGTCTGCCTCACACAGCTGGTGGTAGCAAATTAGTGTCCCTACCAAGGGGATGGTGTGATAATTTAAATCCTTTGAGAGAAAAGATGGGAATACAAGGCTATTCCTTGAGCCTACTCGAAGAATCAAGTAGGAACAAAAATCTTAGTGAAAAGAAGAAAAATAGTAACACAGATGTTAATTAGTACTGAACAGCACTTTTATTTATTATTGCCATTCCATTTTATGATAATATTATGTGTCACCATGTATTCGAATTTTTGCTTTAACGTTCCCAACAGCTTGTCTGGACTTCTGTTGCACACATTTGTCCAGACTCCCTCTGTGCAGGGGCACAGAACAAGCTGGTGCTCAGTTCTGTTTGAGCAGTCACTGTCCTCGCTGGGGGAGGACGGGGTGAGGGACTCTGCAGAGTTGCTTTGCACGAACTTTCAACAGCACAGCTTTGGATTTTTAGTAAAGCAGGAGTTTCCAAGCGTTTTCAGACTTCATTTCTTCATTTCATCAGTAAATCAATTAGCACTAGAATCAAATCACTTGCCACACAGTTTGTGTGTGGCGTGTGTAGGCTGCTGAAAAACAATGTGACTGATAAAAAAGAATTAGCAAGGCACATAATACATAGGGGGGTTTTATTTTCACTCAGATCCTGATTATTTAACGTGAAACTGGAATGTTGAAACAGGACTGGACATCTGTGTAAGTTCATAGGTAGAAAACAAAGTAAAATTGGAATATTTTTTAATTTTGTGAAGTTAACATAAGCACTACCTAAGATTTTGAAGCAATTTCTTATATCTTATTCTATTATGTCCCTACTATTATGTCTAATTTCTTATTCTTAAAAATATTCCTGTTCCTGGTAACTTCTAATGAGAGACAAGAGCAGAACAAAATGTCAGTGAATGTTCTAGGAACTCTACATCAGTCCTCCTGAATTCCAAGGAGCATCCCTGCTTTGATGATGTCAGTCTGCTCTATCTAAGGAAACAATAATCTCCAGATTTGCATCCCATGCATGGCAGCCTTCTCCATACAATGAATTTATTCAGTGTTGTCAAATGTATTTATGGTGTTTTGTTGATGGGTTGTCTTTTTTTATTTATTTTTTTTTCAAGAAACAAGAATTTGTTTCGATGTCTTCTCTTATTGACTTAAATCATACAGGTTGGATAGGCACATCTTCTAGATAATAGTCACCTTTGGGAGCTGTAATTGTCTAATAATAGGTTTGACTTCGTGCCTAAAGAACATTCTGTGACATTTAAACCAGGTGAACAGAGCCTGCATTCCTGACATAGAGCATAAACCATCCAGCACCTGATGTCACTGTAAACCTGTTACAGTTTTATAAGTTAGTGGGAAATGTGTCACCTTTATATCCCAGCTCACTGTTGGGATCCCTCACAGGGAAAAAGTTTAAACTAGATTTGAGTTACAGGGTGCATGACATTTTGATTTTTAGACTTTTAAGTCCTTCAGCAGAATGTGGAGTTCATAGAATTATTCTATTTATTTGGGCCAATGTAGTATAAAATCCTGGCATCTAAAATGCTATAGAAACTTCAGTAAAACATTTTAATGAGACTTATGATTGTAATATTTAAAAAAGCAATCATATAAACTCCATCACAAAATATTAATTTATTGACAATAATGAAAGTGCTGGAGAATTATTCATCCATTCTAGAGTTTGTGCACCCAACAACTGAAAAATATGAGTTGTGAGGAAGTTGTGGGAGTAAGTCAACATTTCCTCCTGCAGAGACTGGTAATTCTGGATCTCAAAAAATGGCATCAGTTGTTGTGCCACTGCCTCTGTGCTGCTGCTCTGCACTGCCCGTTGAGATTGCAGTGGTTTATGGTCCACAGGAGACAGGTTCTGCCAAGGAGAGGATTCAGCATCCTGGCAGTGGACGTTTTTGTGAAACAGGTTTTTATCAGGATTCTTGATTTTCCTTTATTTCTGAGGACAGAGTCGAGGGTTTTTTGCCTCTTGCCAACATACTTATATAGACATAATAAAGAGACATCATCAAAAGATGAATTTTTGTGCTTATTGGGACTGTTCAGTTACATTATAGAATTGAAAAAGATGTTCTTTGTGCCATTTATGTTTTTTCCTCTCTATTTTTAGGATGCAAAGTTTGTAGAAGAGCGACGCAAGCAGCTACAAAATTACCTAAGGAACGTAATGAACAAAATTATTCAAACTGTGCCAGAATTCACAGCCAATCCCAAAAAAGAGACACTTATTCAGCTGATGCCCTTTTTTGTGTAAGTATCTGTCAAGTACTCAAGAAAATATTAAGCTTTTTTCATCACAAATAATTTAAAATATAATGCCAACATCTCCAAACTCTTTAAAACTGCGGGGTTTTTTAAATAGAAGTCTTCTGTTCTAATTGTAAGTGCTTTTTTTATATTTAAAGGAATATATGGCATGTGGAGTATTTTTTGTTTATTTAAATGGTGACTTTGAATAAAAATCCCAGTGTAAAGCTTTCAGAAATATCTCAGTGACTTCAAAACCTGCATCTGCCTGCACTCTTCAAACACTAGGTGTCTTCATTTTCTTTTATTTGGTCTTTTTTTAGTGTTGTTTTGCTTCTGTTTGTGTGGGCTTTGTATTGTTTTTAAATTTATTTTGGGGACTGAGGGTAGAGTACTATTAAGGTACTTACTGACCAAATTAAAAATTCAAGTTGTTGAACTCTTTCTAGCTGAATTTTACAATCTGCTGACTCATGTTCTGATTTCATTAATGTTAAAGTTGACTGTGTCCTGATACAGTTTAACACAGTCATTTGTTAAGAATCTCAAAAGAAACCCTTAGATACACAATCACACAAGGGATATAATCTGGTAAAATCTTCCCTTTCTGCTTTAAATATCGTTCTTTATGTATTTGTAAATGATATTTAGAACTATTTAAGAAATAATATTAATGAAAATTTGTTTTTGTAAGTGGTGTTAAATTTCATAATATTTTGGTTTAATAGTATTTTACTATACACATCGGCTCTTTGTAAACACATACATAAGAACAGGAGGGATCTTTGGCAACAAGCATCACAATTTTTTGCACTTTGCAGTTTCATAATTCTCAACACATTGCACGAAGCAATGCACTAGAGTGGATTCAAGAATAATCTGTGATATGGCAAAGAGGTTCTTTTTGTACCTGTGAATTATTTCCTTAGAATTTTTTCTCATATAGTAGATGTTTCAGCATTCTCTCTGGGAATACTAGTGGGATTCTGGAAAAATTAAGCTGTTGAGCAAAATAACTATATACCTCATCTACAGCAGCAGACAAAATGGCTTTTTAATGCATTTTTCTACTGAGAGATCAGACTCTTCTTCTGCAGCTAGAGCAGCAATATTAAATTAATACAAAGAACTTTTCTAAGATGTGCTCCTTCTATCATTGTCTGAAAGTATCATCATTTCTAGGCTATTATTTGAACTTTGTCCTTTATTTTCTGCCATGACCTGGCACTGTTGGTGATTTAGAAAAGACATCCAAAAGAAAATGCATTTCAGTTCCACTTCATATTGCCAACTTCTCCAGTTTTGTCCTTCCTTAATGGATTTTGAGCTTCATCAACAGGAGATCTTGAACATGTTGGACTCTGAAGTGTATATTACATTAACCAGTTGTAACCTTTGTACCATACCTACGATTCTTCTGTTAGTTTTAATAGTATTTTGTTTAATAGTACTTTACTATGAAACACTGTAAATACATATAATAATACTGGTATATTTAATTTGTCCTTTGCAGCACAAATGTATGTACAGTTGATTGAATCTTTATCAATGAAAGAGTAGTTACAAAACACTGAGATATTAGTCATAGGACTGTGCTGTAGGGAATAGTGATACCTCAGTCTGGGGGGAAAATTACAGTCTTAATATGCATAAAAAGTCTCTAGGGCATTAGATCTGTCTATTAGGAAGCAATGAAATATAAAATATAAAAATAATTATCTGGTCTTAAAGAGTTTCTTCTGACTGCAAAATGAAATGACCACAATTCAGTGTGAAAATGAAAAATCCCATAAAGGTTATGTCTGGTTAGGCTTCCTATAGATAGAAATTACGGGGTCAGTTTTAATTAATCACTTTTAAGATCTGGTTTTGGTCTTAGAATATGATTATGATGAACAGAACATAAGATGAATGTCTCTAAGACTGAATCCACTGATAATTTAATGCTAGAATGAATATTGCTGAACATTTTTGTTGTGAGGTTGTTCCTTTGGGGATTTCTCCCTTCCAAGTGCAGTGATTCTGTACAATCAGGCACAGATCTGATGAGGCAAAACATTTTAATTGATCTGTCTGAAATAGCCTGCCACTGTTATAAAGGATGAAATTGCTTTTATTTTGAAACTCAGTTAACAGTTTGCAGTACAATAACATGAATCAGTTTGCTGGCATTTCTTTTCATTATTGTATCAAATGCTGGTGGTTAATCATGGAAATGTAATTTGTTTTGAATCTTAATGCTGTGAACTGTCATTAATGTGCCCTTTCTTTCCTCAGTCTTTATTGCTTATAATCTCAGTTTGTATATTTTTCAGTTTTAATACTTTATTAGCTCAATCACAGGATTGGTCAAAGATTTTCCTTTATAGTCCACTTTCATGTCTTAATGTAAAAAATAGATTCTGGCTCTGCTAATTTGTGTGTTTACATGCTGAATGACTAATTCTTTGTAATAATAAGACCGACATCACAGGATAAATTTTCCAGTCCGTGTGGAGCAAAACCTAAATCAAGATTTGGCACTGCTGAATTAGATTGCTACATCTGCTAGCTGGTGAAGGCCTGTCTGTTAATACTTACTTAAATTAACATTTATTTGCACTCGTGATTGGTACATTATGGATAAACAAAACTTGTTATAACAAGTACACTTGTGTTTTAATCACATTTTTATCAATATGAAAAATATCACACACCTTAGCTCTTTGTAAATACATACATAAGAACAAGAGGGATCTTTGGCAACGAGCATCACAATTCTTTGGACCATATAATTGAGTCTTCAACATAAATCACCACCATAGGCAATATGATTTCAAGTAGGTAAAAAGCTAAAAGCTGTAAACGCATGGGAAAAGAATCTCTCAAATGTTGTGATGGTCCATTTGTCTGTCTCTGGTTTCTGTATCAATTGCCCTCATTTTTTAAAAGATAAAGATTTCAACCTGGTGTGGGGATTGGCTTAGTGATCTCCAGAGGTGCCTTCCAACTTCAAAGAGTCTGTAAATCTATAATTCTCCAAAATCTTGACCTGCAATCTTAACCTGAGTTGTGTGTTACATAAACCCTGCACAAAGAAGTGTTGGCCAAATATACAGCTGGTCACAGAATGTTCTGTGTTAACAAAGTCTAAACAGTGGGAAACTACTAAAGTACATACTGCAATTTGTGGTTCTGCAGAGCTGATCAAATAAGAATAGTGCCACTTTACTGGTTCTTTTGCATTGGCCATGCAAATGTTTGGATTAAAATATATGCAAGAATGGTATAAACACAGTTTTGTGAATATTTTCACAGATGACTGTGCTGAGTACTTCTTTATCTCATATTCTAGGCCACAACTACAAGTTACAACAATTTCTAAATAACAATTACATGTTCTGCTGAGCTGCAGAACTGGACATTTATTCTCTTGTGGTAGCTGCTCAAAAATAGGCTTTAAGAAAAGCAGAGAATCTGCTCAGTAAATCATCAGCAGGTTCTGCTGTCTGCGGGATGTATTTGAACACCAAAGGAGTCATCAGTTCTCCAGGATGATTAGAGGACTGTAATTTTCTAAAAAATATGTTGTCTTCATTTCCCTGGGTGACATTACTGGCAGCATATTTGTTAGCAGAAGTTGTGTTCTTACGTGTTTTGTGTCAGTTGTCTTTGAGTCACGAAGTTAAATTGAAGTGAAAAAAAAAATAATCAAAATTTCTACCTCTTTCTCATTTTCTAAAATACTTCTCCCCTCCTGGAAGGTAAAGTCATGAGAAATGTGCCACCTGACAGGCAAACTCCAGTGCCAACCAATAAGTCATTCAAAAAAAATGTTGTCCCGGGAATACTCCTCCAAGATTTATTTAGCACTGA